GGGCTGTAGCCTACATCGTCTCCAGCGACTCACAGCAGTCCCAGCTCCAGGTTGAGCTGTTGTTCAGCATCTTAGCTGTGGAGGGCAGTGTCACTGGCCCTCATATGTGGGATCTGAACTGGGGCCCTCTGGCGTCCCAAGCCAGCTCTTAACCAACATGCCACTCGGCCAGCCCGAGGAGGTGACTTTTGAGCTGAGCCCTGAAAAATAAAGAGGAATAAGCTCTTCAGGGAAAGAGAATATAAAGTGGGAAATCCTATTCATAGTTAGCATTTCTTAAGGGCTTTTACATACATTATCTCATTTAATTCTGTCAACACTCTCCGGTGTAAGTTACTGTGTCAGTCAGAGTCCTTTCACCAAACAAATGTCACCTCCCAAAGGGACTGTGTATAAGAATATGGAAACCAAGTGATGAACATTCCAGGACTAGTAGCCATGAGAGGCTACAACCACTCCTTTGTCTCAAGGGGCAAGGAAGGGGACTAGATAGAGCCTTCTTATGCAACTTGGATCTTCGTAGAAGAATTTCGCCACTACCAAGTCATGGCCAGGCAAGAAGGAGCTGGGCAATAAATATCCCAATTTCTTTGTCCCACCTAGAAGCCTGCTGAGCATCCCAATAACCAAACTTAATCAGAAACCAGAGGACACTGCTGACAGCTTCCTGGGCCGCACAGCAGGGCGGTAAAGAATGGAGGAGATCTTCGGGTGCCCATGATATCCAGCACAGTCATTTTTTTATTCTCGCCATAGTAAGAGGTAACTGAGAAGTCATCCACTTGCCCAAGTTTACAAATGAATGGACGGAGCATGTTTCATTTCACCACTGTGCTGTACTGTGCTTAAGCCACAAAAATCAAAGGAAGCATGGCACTGAGTAAATAAGTCTCAATGTCTAGGAATTGTGTTCCACTGCTAGTTCAGCAGCTAGAGCGCAATGCTCAGTCTCCGATAAAGGCCTGAAGATTAGCATTTCAGGGCTAGTATGTGGCCCTTTGAGTTCATCAGAGACCTAAGTGATTTCTGCCTTTCTCTTCATCCATCCTTGGTATGTGGCTTCTGTCCTCAGAATCACAATATGGTTGCTGTAGCCTCAGCCTTCTACATCTTCATTCTAAGCAGGAAGCAAGCAGAAGTGAAGAAAATACCACGCCCCTTCCTAAAGGAGTTTTCCCAGAAGCTCTACCCAACATCTACTTAGATCCCATTGGTCAGAATTAGTCACATGGCCAATCCTAATAGCAAGAGAGGCTGACTAATGTAGTTTTTACCTGGATGAGCCCATTACTCTCATAATAAAATTAGAGTTCTCTTATTAAGTGGAGGGAAATAGGATAAGGTAAGCAGCTAGCGGCTCTGTCACAGGGTTTTAATTCATTTTTATATCCCCAAACCTAAAAGAAGGGCCTGGCACATAGTAGGTGTTCAATAAAGTGCTATTAAACTAATCTCAACTACAAATAGTTTATGTAAGAGAGTGTCAGGATTTAGGACTAGAGAGGTAAGTATGGGCCAGATCCTAAGGGGCTCTGCCTTCTAAGTTAAAGTAGTTAGAACATGACGGCAAAAGTGAAGTTCCCACCCCCGCAATAACCTAGGAATAAGGAGCATACATTAGTCATATGGGAGCAAGCTGTGAAATTAATTTAAAATGGTTATGATCAAAGATATGAAAAGTCCATTTAGGAAGTGTGAAAAGCAGCTAATCCCCAAGACAGAAGTAGCAAATCCACTTCATTAACACATCTGAAGAAAGAATGTATTGATGGGGAAGGGAGGGAGGGAGGGTGGTCTGCAATGGACCAAACACTGTTGTCTTCAATCTAGTTGTGGAGGACACAGCTCAGCTCTAAATCCAGTTGCCGTTTTTTTTCAGTCTAGCCGTGGGGGGCACAGCCCACCATCCCATGCAGGAATCAAACCGGCAACCGTGTTAAGAGTACGCGCTCTAACCAACTGAGCCACCCGGCCACCCCTGAAATTCTGGGGGTTCTTTTAAGATTTTATTGGGGAATTGGGGGAGGGGAACAGACAAGTTGCTGTCCTTTTGTTCTTCAGTCAAGTTGTGGAGGACATCGCTTCACTAGCCCATGTTGGTATTATCATTGTGCTTTTCCCAGCTGAGGCAAATCAGTCACCAGCCATTGAATGGCTGCTCACAGTGGCTCTTGGCAGTTCATGCTGGCCGCTGGCCATGCACGGTAGCTTACGGCAGCCCACTGCAGCCCCACTGCAGCCTACGTCATTGCCAATGACTCACGGCAGCCCAGCTCCAGGTTGAGCTGTTGTTCACCATCTTAACTGTAGAGGGTGCAGGTCACTGGCCCATGTAGGATCCGAACTGGGGCCCTGCTGCTCAGAGCTAGCATCCCAAGCCAACTCTTAACCAACGAGCCACTCGGCCAGCCCTGAAATTCTTATACTGCCCTTTTTGGAGTCTTAAGATTCCTCTTTAATATCAAGTTTTATTTACCTTCTTCCCATGCACACATAGTTGTAATAAAACATTTAATGTCAGTTGATGGAGAAAATGCAGATATACACATTCTATATCCTTTGCTATAAGCTTGAAGATCTGTAGCTTGGTCTATAGAAGTTGCGTTTAGAGTTTTCTTTTGTCCAGGAGTCACAGTGAAGGAAACCATTTCACCTTGTGACCTAGTGATCATCACAGTTTCTCAGAACAGAGCTTCGCCCTACTATGGAATGATGCTCTGATATTTTCTGTTCCAGCCTGTTTATTTTTTTTCCTCAAATCTGGACTTCACCCATTAAATTGATTTTTTTACCCATAGGTTGAGACCTACAGTTTGTTTTTACAGCGTTATTGAGATGTAACTGAAGAGACCTACAGTTTCAAAACACTGGCATAGATGTTCTTTTGTGACAGTGGTTGTGAACCTTAGAATTTTAGTTGACTCACCTTTTCCAGTCACCAAACCTCTTGATCTGATTATAAGAGAACCAGCAATTCCCATGTTGAAATTACTTTTCCTGACGTTTTGTGGCTGTTAAAAAAAAAAAAAAAAGACTGGCAAAATTAACAGGCATTCCTGACCAAATGACAATTACATTTCTCATCACCACTTAATAAACTAGCATTCAATTTGTACTTTGCTTTCTTTTAGATTGGATTAGCTAGCCTCAGCCACCTTTGAATTCTCTTGGGTAGATGGCACCTGGTGTTCTCCTAAAATGGAAGCTTCTTTCACCTTTAATACTAAGGACTTTGGACTTTCTTTTAAAGCGAGATCCACTGAAGTGTTTTAATGCCGATTTGCATTTTCGAAAGATAAGCTTGGAAGGATTGTGGACTATGAATTGAACAGAATAGAAGAGAGAGCCAAACCAGTTAGGAAGCTCTTGCAGGAATCAAGCCAGAAATGATAAGAGCCCAAGGTAAGCCAGTGGGGTCAAGATAGGAACAGAATGAGGAGGGGGAAAAAAATCAGTAAAAGGTAGGGACTGTTTAAAATGGATGTAGCAAATGAAAAGAAGGAGAAAGCTAAAGTGAAGAGATATCAAACATTTCTGGTTGAGATGACTGAGCAAAGTATGATACCATTCACCACGACAGAAAATTTGTATAACTGGAGGAGTTCATTTTGACATACTGAACTTTAGTTGCCTGTGGGAACTGTGTGAAAATATATGTAGCTCAAGTTAGAGCTGTAGATGGAGGTGGAGGAGAAGGTGGGAGGAGGGGGGGGGGGGGTCCACCGGCTTATCTGGTGGTAATTGAAGCTGGCCAAGGGCGTCGATAAGGACAAGAGGAGTTGACCATTGATGTCACCCAACATTTTGTGTAGCTATGCATATAAAACTATAAAAAAGATTAAATTGTAAGCTATCGTACTTATCTATATGCCTACATACATATATGTATATATATTTAGGAATGTGGTCCTTCATAGTTTTAAGCAGATATACGTGGGAAAGCAACAAACTTCATATTTTATTATAATATATAAAATAGGATGCTTGACAAGAATCAGTGCCTTATATAAGGAATTCTGAGTGCTTTATCCAGTAAGTCTACCTCCCTTGCTTTTTTGTTACTACTCTACAGCCAAGCTCTTTTTATACTGAAATGATTGAGCAGTAAACCCAAGAAGTACTCTGATAAATACTTAGCAATTCAGAAAATCCAAAGCACAATTATTTGAATCTAGTAATTCTTCAATAAGTATCTACTGAGTGAATGAATATCCAGACAGAGATAGATAAGACTGACAAAAAAGAAGCTGTGTCCTTGATTTTTTATAATTCTCTTTGAAAATAGAAACAATTCAGGCCGGCCAAGTGGCGCGTTGGTTAAGAGCTGGCTTGGGATGCCAGAGGGCCCCGGTTCAGATCCCACATATGAGGGCCAGTGACGCTGCCCTCCACAGCTAAGATGCTGAACAACAGCTCAACGTGGAGCTGGACTGCCGTGAGTCGCCAGCGATGGCGTAGGCTACAGCCCCTGCTGCAGTGGGTTGCCATGGGCTACTGTGTGTAGCCAGCAGCCAGCGTGAGCGGCCAGCAGCCGCAGTGAGCGGCCGTCCAGAAGCCGGCGACTGATCTGCCTCACCCGGGAAGAGCGCAATGATGGTGCCAACTTGGGCCAGTGAAGCAACGTCCTCCACAACTAGACTGAAGAACAAAAGGACAGCAACTTGTCTGTTCCTCTTCCCCCAATTCCCAAAAAAATCTTAAAAAAGAAAATAGAAACAATTCATACAATGCTTACCTCTGTAGAATATGTTAAATATAGGCTTTGAGCCAGAAAACACAGATGTGTATTTTTTTCTCCACACATACCAGGTGGGAGATTATTTCTGACAAAAGACAAAAACCTTTGCCTTCTAAATTTAAGAAAAGCAATTATTTACTGTAATCTTTCATAAAAAGTCCCAGAGTATATTGGTACTTAGTTCTCTGAATTGCCTCATGTCCTCTTGGTAAGCATTTTACTTGATTTTCTTTTTTTCTTTTTCTTTTCTTTTTTTTAACAGACCAAAAAAGAAGCACCTGAGTGGTCTAAGAAGCAGAAGATGAAGACCTAGTATTTGGATGGATTTTCTATATCATTATTTACTCCCAAAGTTCTTTTTCTGATGAACAAAAAGTTTATCTAAATCATGTGCTTGTCATTTTTTAAATAACTAATGTAAAATTTATTTTAACTGAATGTCAAATTAACAGATTTCAGCATAATCAAAATGTACAAAGTGAAAACAGTAGTATACTTTATATTTGGTTTTATCTATTTTGTTACAAAATAAATATATTCTCTATGATTTAAATTTTTGGAGCTTTCATCACTCAAGGCATTTTAAAGTGCGTGGCTTATAAATATTTTGTTTAGTAGTTATTTTGCTGAGTATATTTTCTAACTATATGAATTCTGAGTTTATATGTCATGACACAAATACAAAGACACCCAACCTTTTTTAAAATTAGGAATCATTTATGAAATCTATTAGAAGACACTTCAGATGCCCAATAATATTGGTCAGATACCATGTAGTGGATATGAATTGCATATTATTTGCGGGAAGGGGGGGCTCTGTTTTTTTCTTATATTTCATATTATTATTAACCAATAAAATCTAATGGAAGATTATTTCATCAGTGAAGTAAAAATTTGATTGAAAAGTCTCTTGTCACTGTCAAAACAGTGCTGATTCATATGCTGTATGGACCAAATTTCTAGTCGATGAGAAAAAATTCAGTAGGATTTTCTCTTGTCATAAAGTATGCCCCACTTTTCATTCAAGGGATACAATTTAAAAGAAGAGTTGGTGAGAGAGAGGGAGAGGAAGAAAAGAAAGACATGTGTGTGTGTGTGTGTGTGTGTGTGTGTGTGTGTGTGTGTGTGTGTGTGTGTGT